TCAAGGGTTTTGTTTGATGGAGTAGATGACTCTGCATATTGGGTTGGCCCTGTTAAGGCCAAATGATTACCTCTACCTCTGGCTCTGGTTAAGGCCAATATTGCTTTCTCAGGTTGATAGTCTTATTAATGGGTTTCTTAATAAATCTAAACATAATAGATTTATCACCCTTTTGAGTAGTTATACCTTCATCATTTATTTCTAAGGGAAATGAAGCCCTAATAAAAGGAGTCCCTAGGATGACCTTGTTCCTAAGGTCCTTCATCAATAAAAATGAGGTTTCAATTTGTTGACCTTGGTTTTCTATTGTGGCTTTGGAAAGTTTGTACTTAATTTGTAGTTTGGATCCATTAGCAGTGCTAAGTTTTTTGAAGGTTTTTTCAAAATATTTGGTTGGAATAAGACCTTCTAGGATGCAATTGGAGTCTACTCCAGTGTCAAAAAGGGCTATGGTTTCTAGGACAAAATCTTCAACGATAATCTTGATACTGATGAAGAATTTTTGAATGGTTAGGCGGTTTATAAGACCTAAGAAATCGCTCCAATCAACTTCATTATTCTCTAAATCAGGTTTAGATGGAGGTTCTTCTTGGTTAGAATCATCTTGTAGTTGGGAAAGAATACTTTGATGAAGGATCTGTTGTTCCTTAATACTCCAAATTTCCCTTTTAAGATTGTTGATCTCAGCTTTATGATCTTGGATAGTAACTGGTTTGGTGGAAGTTTTTTCTAACCTTTTGAGGATAGGATTTAAGTCATACTTATTGGTTATGACTAAATTGCTAGGTCTTTTTTCCAAAGTTTGTTTGAGTTTATTCAAAAAAATTCTTTTTTGCTCCAGGTCAAGAATAGAACTGATTGCTTTTTAACAAAAAATCTTGTTTTTTTGTTAGAACATTTATGTTTGGGGTATCACTACTATCAGATGATGAGACATCATCATCCTGCTGAACATTATGAATATCTTCACCAGAATAGTCATCTGTTGAATCTTCCTCAGAAGTTTCGACTAAAAGACTGCTAATTTGTTCATCTAATTCGGGTTCTAGATTGAGGTTGCTAATTTTCCTTTTGAGTCTACAGTACTTGCTGATATGACCAGGTTTTTTGTAGTTGTAACACACTATTGATTTTTTCCTAGGTGGGTGTTTGGTTTCTCCTTTGGGTTCCCTTTTAGGATTCTTAAAACGTCGTTGATGTTTGTAATGAGTATTTCTAAGTTGGTCATGCCTAACCATTTTCCTGGTTTTTTGTTTAGAACACCCAGGTAAACCAAATTGTTCACAAAAGGTACCTAAGTCTTTCCTATTTTGGTTCTTTTCTCTTGCTAATTGCCTCTGAATCTTATCATTTTGGCAGATTTCTAAATCTGTTTTTTGTACAAAAGAAATTAATTGACCATAACTCAGATGGTCATAGGGGATAATATTATCAGGTGTTAAAGCCCTAATTTTATCCCTAACTTTGTCGCCTAAAGATCTAGGAAGACCGGCTAAAAAATTTTCTTTCCAAAAGGGCTATTGACTATCTTCTCTGGTGAAAACTCTAGTGAGGAAAGTATCCTTATACCACTTGAAGTCTCCTAAGGTTTTACACTTGAGGTTGGACAAAAGTTCGGCAGATCTATCTTTCCATAAAGACGGATCTCCTATAAAATGTTGGGCTATGGTGAAAGCTAAGGTATTCACAACATCTGGAATGGTCTCTCTATTATGGAAGATTGGTTCGCCATTGTCATCAATTTTGACAGTTGAAAAGATTCCTAATTTTTGTGCTTCAGTGAGATAATGATCCCACCAACCTTTAAGTTACCCTGTAAATCCTGATACTATAATATTAGCTATAGCTTCCTCAGAACTTTCATGGGCTGTTTGGTAGGCAGTACAAACCATGGTCATGTTGTAACATATGCATGATATTGTATTCAGATTTTCCATCAATATTCCATTTGTAAACGTTGTTGGCATTGAAGCTACTATTATTAAGATCCCTATCTTCTATGGCCAAATCTAAGGCTGTAGAGGGATAAGGTTTGGTTAGACCTTTCCATTGTTTTATGGAGGTGGTCATAATTGGATTAACCTGAAGAGATGGAGGATTGCTAGAATCAGAATCCTGATCCGATCCTTGGTTTATAACACCTATAGTTCTTGTGGCCATCCTCATTTTAGGTCTAGAAGAGGCTTCTTCAGTAACTTGGGGAGTATCAGGGATGGGGGTAGCTTTAAGCAAATTATTAATTTTATTTAATAATTCACTTGCATCAGAATCAATACTGGCTTTTCCTTAGCCTTTTGCAAAGTTTGTTTTTCCTTTTAACTAAGCATGAAAGGTTGAAACAGAGGTTTTTCTAAATGTTTTGAACTTGTGGCTTGGATAGATGGTGGCTGGCTTGATTCATATTTTTGGACAGCTAATTTGTCACCTAAAATATTCTGGAGGTACTTGTTTGTGTAATTTACCTGTTCCATAAGACTTTTAATGTCTTTAGAGGTCAAATTTTCATCTACATCCTTGGTCTTAAAGGGTGCTACTTGCACAAGATTGTTCTTGTCATCCCAAATTTGAGGGAGTTGATATTGGGTCTTGGGAGGAAGTTCATATTGGATTTTTTCTCCATCTTTGAGGTGCCAAACAGTAACCACATTTGTAGAATGTTGTCCTATAAGGTCATGTTTGAAGGGATAATCTATGTTTTTCTTAATGGTATAAGCATGGAACCAATCAAGAAATGGTATATTGAGTTTAACACTATTGAGGAAATTATAGTAAATCTCCTGAATCTCAATTCTCGTGAAACCTTGATAATTATTCAAAAACCAAGATCTTTGGGGTGGTTTTCCTCCAAAGAAAATTCTTTTCGGAGGGCTTCCCCACGAATTTGGAATTCACCCCGTATCATAATGATCATTAAGGGAAGAGTAAGTTGGAGATTGGATAGACTTTTGGTCATCCTCCTCATTGGATTGGTAAACGGCTCTTGGGATGGCTGAATTTGTTTCTACTCCTCGAAGGTTAATATTCAAAATAATTATTCTAGGAATAGCAGTTGTACTGGATTGTGATGCTATAGAAAAAGATCTTCTGGCAGAAGTGTATTCAGATCTCGTAGCTTCGGTTCTTGAGGAAAAGGAATTTCTCCTATCAAAAATAATCTCTAACTTTCCTGATTCAGACTGCCTAATTTCTTGGAATTCATGTGTTTGTCTAGGTAAGGTAGGGGTTGCTCTTTCTAATTGCCATGAGGTTGGAAAATCTGTTAGAAAAGAATGGCTCATTCCAAGAGGGGGGGTGAATTGGATTCTATGACACTTTAAAAATTATCAGATTTTTAGGATCTTTATTTCAATTCAAACTTTTCTAATTATGAATTTTCAAAGAAGTTTCTTAAAGACTTGTTAATGAAGAATGAATCCTATATGCTTTCTTGATTAATTATTAATGAGATTCAATGTTAAGTACAATCAATATGTAATACTTTGATTCAGTTCAAATCAATATTGTTCATGCAAACATGTTAATCAAGAATGATCTCTTTAACATACAACCAATATATTACACAAAGTAAAACATAAGGGTATGAGAAGATTGCACAAGTCTTTTATCCTGGTTCAGCCACTCCACATGTGACCTACATCCAGTCCTCAATCTAAACCTGATCAAGATTTGTTCCACCACTACAAGAAAAATCAGTATTATCTACGGAAGAAATCCGTAGATAATGCTGAAAATCCGTAAGTAACTGTTAATTACCTACGGAAAAAAATTCGTAGGTAATAAGGTCGTAGATAACGTTACCTAAGGAAAATTTTTCATAGGTAACATTACCTACGGATTTTATCTATGGATGACTTACCTACGAAAATTTTTGTAGGTAACTTACCTATGGAAATATCCGTAGGTAAGTTACCTACGGAAATTTCTGTAGGTAAGTTACCTACGAAAATTTCCGTAGGTAAGTTACCTACGAAAATTTCCGTAGGTAACTTACCTACAAAAATTTCTGTAGGTAACTTACCTACGAAAATTTCCGTAGGTAACTTACCTAGGCAAATTTCCGTGAGTAAGTTACCTACGGAAATTTCCGTAGGTAACTATTTTCAATAGATTTATAGCATAGATTATTTGTTCCATACCAATCATTGTTCCTGCTCAAAAATATAAATAAAATTACTTGTCAGATTTCTTAAAATATCCTATAACCTTATGTATATCCTTTAGTTAAGCAAATTCAATTAACCAAAATATGAAATCAAACATCTTTAAAATCAAAATACCCATAGCAATTATGCATAATTAGTTTCCATGTCATTGTGTAAAATAAGATAATTTTAAAATTGTACATAATAATATCTCAATAAAAATATTTAAATAATTGTAGATCCATAATCTATAAAATAAAAAAAAAACTAATAGTCATCCCCATAATGTCCAGTAGGCGGTGGTTGTTGGTCATCGTGGTTGTCATGAGATTGTTTATCCACCTGTTGTTGCAAAATATGTTGTGTATCAAAAGGTAAGAGAGGTAGAACAGCATTGAACAGGGATTGAAATTGGCGTTGCAAGCGTTCATTTTATTCCCTAGATTGACGAGCCTCCTCCCTAGACTTACGGACTTGCACTTCCAATTGAATAATTTTCTCTACCTCTTCAGTAGCACGCCCAGAAGATATATTTATCAAGGTATCCACATTTGTCAATGGAGAAGTGACTTTTCCAACCCCGTAAAGTCATCTTTTGTCTGTAATCCCACCAGCAGCAACAATCCAACTCTTATTGCGGAGTCTTTCTTCCTCAACTGGGTCCATAGGAGACGTTTCAGAACCTCCCGTACAAGATGCGGCCTCAGACCTAGCTTGATTAAATATAGTTTCAAATTGATCCTATTTCATAAATAAAGATGTTTAGAAGTGACATTTATCAAAGATGATTAAAATTGAAAAGAATAAAGCAATAATACAAAAAAAATAACTCGCATATGTTCGCTTAGATCTTTGGTCGACAAAATCGCCTATAACCTTCCGTACATGAGTTTGGTGGAACAACTCATCAACATGTGGAAGGCGACCCAACTCTTGTGACTATAATTGTATAAATAGTTAATCATCATATTTCTAAAATTATGTTGAATAAAATATAGTAGTTGTTTAATGTAATTACCATCTGGATAGCATGCTCGTGAGAGGTGATGGAGCCACCTGTGTGCAGACTTCCACCTTTCTCAGATGCTCTATTTTTTTGAGCTTCGATACTCTTTGTTTTAAATTCTGGGGCCATCCACTGGGCAATCAAACTTTGCCAAACTGTATCAAACATCCAATCGGCTTCTTATTTATTTTACAAGCGTCCTTGAACATTTCGAAAGCCTATGAGATGCTTTTGTGTGAAATATCTTTTTTATCTTCTCTTCATGTTCAGGTCTCCATGAAACTTTTTTCTGCATTAACAGAATAAGGAAGTAGTTAAAGCAAACCAAGTGCAACAATTGAACACAATAATTTCAATATACAATATGAAATCAGACCAAGTGTAACAACAAAATAGATTGAAACTGATGAAGTAAAAAGTGTACCAATGTCAATAGGGATCATTTTGTGGAATATATTGGTGTTTAATAATAAAAATTTAGTGTCTTGTTGGGGAAGTATAAACTAAATTAATTATATTATATAGTGGTCCCTTCATCCATGTAAAAGTGTACCTTAAAACGCTGAAAGAAGATATCTTTTTGTTCTTCCGTCATTGCACCCCAAGTCATCCATGGCTCAACAAATTGTTGCTTGATAGTCAATGTGATTGCTTTAGATGCTACTCTGCTTGGATAAAACCTAATTAAATTGGAAAAGAAAAATTGTTAAATCAGTTCAATGATGGGGAAGAAAAAATAGGATTTAGAAAGCAAAAATTATAAGTTTTACCCATCATTACAAGGCTCAATCATTGGAAGAACAGACCCAACTGGTGGATCTTCATTGTTGAATGGTGATGTATCATTGTTGGACACTTGATCTTCATCTCCAGTAGGAATTTCAACATGCCTGGAGGGTACTGACGTTGGTGATGCATTGCTGCTAGGTTCACAGTGTGAAGCTCTAGAAGAAGGTAACTGATTTTGTTGTTGGGAGCATGTGGGTTCAGCATTTTGCCTTTGGGGTAATGGGGATGTATCAATTTGGGTGTTAGGAGGTATGGTTGCAACATTTTGGGTTTGGGGAGGTGTGCTCGTAGCCTGATTAGAACAAGGGAAATAATGGAAGACTGCTCAAATCCTAGCTAGTAGCCACTAATGCAATCAAATAATTAGCAATTTAACTAAAAAATGTGATTAAAATAACACTTATATTCATTTTTGAAGAGGAGCAATTGTATAAGGATGCTCGTGAACTCTTTCAGAGTTTCACTACGTGTTTATTTTTTATCATGACATCATGTGCCAGACAATCAGAATAACAAATAATATTTCATCTCTTTATGCCTTTTCCAAGTTTCAAAAATATTAAACTTAGAAAGACTCTAACCAAATGTTTTAACCAAGTACTAAAGGTACCTACTTTTCTCATTCAAGACTCAGGTTTGAATTGTTTCCAAAGCATACGGTAGGGACAAACCAAGGAACCGCATGCAAAATAGTGAAATTAACTGTTTATCTCTCTTGACCTCATAGCAAAGTAGTAGTCAATACTACACTATAGTGACAATGTGGAACAGCCTTGGGCCACCATGGTATTCAAATAATGGAGCAGTTTTCCAGTAGCGTTGCAGCTGAAATTGAAGCCAAAATTGCATTGTTTCATGGGCTATAGCAGCACAACAGTGTTGGGTTTCACAAATCTTGTTCAAAGCTTTATTCACACAACATGAACTACTCTCTCTTAGTGCTAGCCTGATTGTTTCTAGTACGGGTGATCACAGTTTGGTTTTTAGACAAAAACTCCTCTAAATCTATTAGACTCATGAATTTAAACAAAACAGGATACTAGATTATATTAGAAATTTAATCTGGTTATAGGCCAGGTTCAAACACATAATGACAAACATAATGTTTCCCCCTAACAATGTGTCTCCTCCTTCCACTGAAACTGATAAAAAACAACCTTTCTCCCCTCTCTGACTTCCTCTATAGTATATATTAAATAATAACTATCACATGTATAAAATAACTACCTAATAACACCAAACAATAACTACACTCCAATTAAACTAAACAATAACTGCCACGTACACAGCTAGACTAAATGCAGTTCCTAAAATAAAATTCAACTTTATCACTCAGCATTTAAATATAATGATCAAAATGAATGAGGATATAACAAATGACAATGCATTGTTCCTATGATCAATTAGCTAATACTATTATGCTTTACTTTGGAGACTCAGAATGATAATGAAATATAGCAATCACAAATAAAACTTCATCAACACATTACATCTAAAAGTAAAAATAAATAATAGGAACAAATGCTTAATTTCCTGTTCATTTAATTTCTATTTTAGTAGGGTTGGGGAAGGCAAAGATTTTACCTGTCATAGGTTGAAGAGCAGATGGCTCTCTCACCCAATGAGCTTCAGCAATGATAAGATAGCTTAATATTAAGAAAGGAATTATCTGCAGATGTCACCATACAAACTACAGTGAGTAAAATAATACTGGACCAGAGATAGAAGAAAATGATAAAACAGAAATGATATGCTTATTTAATTATATATGTGGCTGCATGTCAACTTTTGATATAAAAAACCTACTTAGCATTCAGAGACGTGCAAATAAAAAAGAAAAAAGAAAATGACAATTAAATACATGTGAAATACAAAGGCCTTTCAATCTACAATCAGTCACCTGCTGGAAAATGGCTTATAGGGAGTTTTAATCTTTGCAACCACTTCACCCTCTATCTAATCAATAAATATTTTTAATTAGTTTTATTTTTACACAATGTAACAAGTGTTTGATGATTAGAATATACAATTCAATGTCCACCATCACGAACCCAAATTATAAATCACTTTGTGGAAAAACTCTTGTCATCACATTTTACAAATATAAGTGATCAATTAACCATAAAAGGGATTAAATTATAACCATAAAGTTGCTCAATCACAGGGTTCATGTTTGTGTTCAAGAGTACCAAATATTGGTGATGAATCTATTTAGAGATATAAAAAAAAAATTCCTCAGCCCCTGTATCTAATTGCTTAAGCCTATAGGATAGTTGATTTTTAAAACAATATTAAAGTTGTGACCAAGTGGTCAACAGTAGGATCTTTGGTGTTCCCATTTTTCATAATTTAATTGAACTTTGGAATAAGGTAAAGTAGATTTGAACATTATCCATGTTGTGAGCACAAAGGAGCCTTGCATGCAAGGTTGTCTAACTTAAGAGTGTACATGAACTCATGGACAGTGCATAGACTTGACTCATACATTCATAATATTTTACCTATTTGCCATGCTTTGAACACAATGATACATACCCATTGTATAATAACATGCCCCTACCTCCCATTGTTTATTGTAATTCTAGTTAAGAAAATAGTCTTTATTGATCATAATTACATGACAGAATTATATAGACAGAGATGCTAGAAGAAATCCTAATCACCTTGATTACAAAATAAATATAATGATAAGATAAAAAGAAAATAAAAGAGAATCATATCAGTTTTGAATAATATGATCTTGATGTTAACTAACTAAATCTACTATAACAAAGGAGAATAAAATCAGTACTTTCAACCGTCAACATTAATTAAAATAAGTGGTAGAAGGTGATAATTAAAAGGTATGTTGCTGAAAATTTGAATATTAAGGTGACTTGCCAACCACCCCCTCATGCGCAAGGCTACTGGCCAAGAGTGTGGAAAAAGTAGGAGATCCAACAATGGATATAAGACCTTCAAGAACCACAATATATGTGACCACTTGGTTTCTCCACTCTCCTCGATAAGTGTAATGCTCGAGCAGCTACCCCCTGGAATTGAATATCTATATAATCCACCTCCATTAAAAAAATAAAAATCATGAGATGATAACTTATTCACTGCATTGAGAAAGTTGTGGTCTGAAAATTTAAAGGTAGAAATATGAAAGAGGAACATACCACTAAATCATCGCTCCTAGAGATTTAAAGGATCGTCGCTCCTGGAGCAGTGCGTCTCATCGGAGCAGGAAAATCGCAACCCCGGTATAGCGTCGTCCACTGCAGCGATTGAATGGCTAAGGGTTTTGTGATGAATCGCATGAATTTGGGCAAAGAGGTCTCACTGTGTCATTGCTCCTCCAAGGACCGTCGCTCCTGGACCAGTGCGTTTCGTCAGAGCGGAAAATCGCAACCCTAATTCTAAATAATACAAAACCTCAATGTCTTCAGTAACCCTTAACTCAATGTAGCTTAAACGTCGCGTTTCTTCTGTTTAGTTACCTACGAAATTTTTTTCGTAGATAACTAAACTTTACCTACGAAAAAAATTCTGTAGGTAACACTCTGTAGATAATTAAAAATTACCTACGGAAAAAATTTCGTAGGTAATATTCCGTAGATAACTAAAAATTACCTACGGAAAGAATTCCATAGGTAATATTCCGTAGATAATAACAGTTTTTCTTGTAGTGTATCTTAATGAAGAAGTTTTACAAGCATACCACACATGCATACACTCCTACATTCAAGATAACCACTTTCTTGACCTCAAGAAAACACCCCTTGTAGAAACCCACTACAAGAATTCCTTATGACTTGAGACACCTACTCAAGATTTACAAATATTCACAAAGAATTAAGGAATGAATTCACCTGGAATTCAGAAGCAAATCTTAATCTGTCTCTTTTTCAAGAATGTGATGATGACGATGACGATGATCTTTTCTCAAAGCATTTCAAAAACGTTTTTCTTCTTGGTTTCACAAAGAAAACTCTCCAAGAATGTCACAAAGACTTCACAAACACGTTTTTCTCTTTTTGATTCTCAATTCTATCTCGTTCTAAAGTTTCAAAATGTTCAAACTATTTATAAGCTTTTCAGAACCCAGATAATCGATTATTTTAAAGAATAATCGATTATTTTGTTCTTCATAATATCTGGAAATCAACCAAGAACAATTTAATCGATTATTTTGCAGGATAATTAATTATTCCAGAGAGTGATTTCTGGGATAATCAATTATTTCACAAATAATCGATTATTGCAGCAAGGTATCCTTTTTACCCGTTGCTAGAATAATCGATTATATTTAATGATAATCGATTATTTTGAGTTAGTTTTCAAAACTCTGTTTTAAGTCTCAAAATAACTTCTTAATCTTTCAAACTCATCATCATACCCACTCCTAATTAGATTAGATAAAGATTAGCTCATGCACAAAGCATACACACAAAAAATAAACTCAACAAAACAATTTATAAGCTATTCCTATTACATAACATGATAGCCACATTTTTCTTTGACTTTATTTTTGACTTCTAAGTTGTTGATGTCCTTGGTCAGCTTTGTTCCACACTTTGTTATCATCAAAACCTTTAATCTCCAAAGGTGAGTTGATTAACCACAATGAATCTCAACAATCTCCCCCTTTTTGATGATGACAAACCATACAAGCCAAGCCATGTTGTTTTGCCTCATTTCAAAACCTGCAAAACAAGCTCACAAAACCTTTCTACCCCTTTGGACATCATCAAAAACAAACCAATA